TTTTAAACTGTGTGCGTTTGTATACTTTAAAGTCACTTTTAATTTTAAGCCTGTGCACCACTGAAAGGAAACTTATTACGCCAGTGCCGCTATTTTCAACTCTCAACTCTCGGTTCTTGAGTTTACCCAAGCACCTCTTGATGCTTCATATAGATAGATAGAAGAACATTAACAGAACAGTCAAAGCAATAAACAAAGTCACAATGACACATACAATGGAGCAGTTGCGTGAGGGTGGAGGGGGCAAGAGATTAGACAAAAATGTGACACTGAGACAGTCCTTGGGGAGCTGTTGTTATCACAGCAGTGTGTTCTTGGAGATCAAGAGTCAAAACAAAGCATGACACTCACATCACGAGCCGTCCAAACAACATGTCTGGTTGAAAAACATGGAAGCACCATTTTCTTGTACTTTTTCTTAAAATTATTATTTCATATATATATATTATTTTCCGACATCTCCAAAAGTAACTGCTACTGGAAGAAAATGGACGTCAATCACGTCCCATGACCTTTCCCCTTCAGTGAATTGCCTTTTCCCCTAGTCCCCCATATCACCATAGCAAGGAACCAAAAATTTTAAATGCTACAGCAGAACCATAGACATTGGCACATCTGATCACTGATAGTACTGTGGCACTGGGTGTGAGCACACTTGGTCAAATGTACTGCTCTATGTGTTCCCACACATGAGTCTCATATTGCCTTCTTCCAGAGAAAGCAGTCTGTCTTCACTTCACATCGCCCCACAGGTAGAACACTGAGTCACTGGTAATTGAGGATAATCAAGGGAGCCACCCTGGTGGCACCCGCTGAATTTTAATTGAAAATCAGAATAGAGTTTTAATTTGAAACTTGCTCAAGACTTAACAATTACTTGCTCTGGAATTGACCAATCAAGTGAGCAAGCTTCACCCATAGTGATGCACCCCTAATGTATGCACTTTAGCTGAGGTAATATGAAGATGATTTTGCTACCGAACTACTAACCCATCTTATAGATTTGATAACTTTTCATTCTCCTACAACTTTTTGTGTCTTGGCCTATTCCTCATTAGGAAAAGCATATTTTGTCCAAACACTTGCCCCATTGGATGATATAAGTTTAGCATTTGTTTTACGTTGGGGTTTACAGCTATCAGTGCCCTGAAGGCATATTTCACATAAGGCATGTCTACCTCATAAGCATTTCCCATCTTGACAATTGCTCCACACACATTTATTATCTTCAGTAATTGCTTTATCCTGGTGCACTGGTTCCCATCACTGGTCCTGTAGCAACCCTGGTCCTTCACAATTTAGAATTTTCCTCTCTAACATGCCCATTTAAACTCAGGAATGCTGATTAGTTGAATCAGGTGTGTTGGGAGCAGGAAATACTAAACTGTGCATGACAGGGGGTTCTCTGGGACCAGGGTTGGTAACTTGCATCCTAGTGGATCTGGAGTCTTTCCCAGGAACACTGGTTGTGTGGTGGAAAGACACCTGGGAAGGGACGCCAGTCCATTTTAGCTGGCACATACAATAGTCATTCATCATCTGTAACCACTTCATCCTCTCCAGGGTCACAGTGGATCTGGAGAAAATCCTTGCACCATTAGCCACAAGGTGGGAGAATTCACCTGGGATGGGCCACCAGTCCATCAGAGGGCACAAGTCACACAATCAATCACACCTAAGGGCAATATAGCATCATAACACCACCTAGGCAGTGGTGTCTCAGTGGTTAAAGCTCTGGATTACTGAACAGAAGGCGGGTGGGTTCAAGCCCCAGCACTGCCAAGTTGCCCCTGTGGCTCAAGGGCCCTTGACCAAAGCTCTTAACTCTCTCTGCTCCAGACTGACCCTGTGAGCTGACCCCAACTTCCTAACAAGCTGGGATATATGAAGAAAAGAATTTCACTGTGCTGTAATGTGTGAGACAAACAGGAGCTTCCTCATTTGGAGGAGAACCCATTTGGACACAGGGAGAACATGGAGCAAAAGTAACTGCAACCAGGAGAAAATGGATGTCTCACAGCCATTTCCACCAGTCTCCCATATATTGCCATAAGAAGGGGACAAAAATTGTAAATGCTATGGCTAAACCATAGACATTGGCACCTTTGCTCACAGATAGTAATGTGGCATTGGGTGTGAGCACACTTTCTTACCCATGGGCAAATGTGCTGCATTGTGTGTTCCCACCCATAACCCTCAAATTGCCTTCATCCAGAGAAAGCAACCTGTCTTCATTTCTCATTGCCACACAGAGAGGACAGTGAGGCATTGGTAATTGAAAATAATCAAGGGAGGCACCCTGGCAGCTCCTGTTGTTCAGGAACTTCTTGTCCCAGGCTCACATGCAAATATTCCATCACAATTCACAGGACTTTTTTACCATTACTGCATACACTGCAGAGTTTATCAGTTCATCTTCTGTCTTTCAGTAACCTCTTATGTTACTTTATAAATAGTGAATGTCCCAGGTTTTGGATGTGCTCTTGATATCACTCAGAGTGTTAATTTGAAAATTACTCAAAACTTGATAATTACTTGCTCTGGAATTGACCAATCAAGTGAGCAAGCTTCACACATTTTTGCCAAACCCCTGATGTATGCACTTTGGCTCAGATATTATGAAGATTACTTTGCTTTCGAACTACTAATTTGTATTACAGAGTCTATGATTTTCATTCTCCAACAGCTTTTTGTGTCTTGACCTATTGCCTCATTAGATGGTAGAAGTTTAGCGTTTGGTTTAGGTTGGGGTTTACAGCTTCCAACGGCCCTAACAGCTCATTCTTATACACCGTATACAGTTATTATTCACCTTAAATCAAGATGTATTTATAAAGCATTATGACTACACATTATAATTATTAATAGTATATAAATGGTTTGTAAACAATTATATAACACTAAAAAGCATTTTTACAGTTTCTAGAACTTGGTCAGTGCATGGTCAGTTAAGAATTGTAAGCACTATTATAATAAATTATGCACACAGGCTTCATAAGAAGTGTTGCTGAGTAATTTTTATAGCCATACACAGATGTTTCCACAAAAAAAACCCACACAAATACATAAAAGATTAAAAAGTACATAAAAAAAGAAAAGATGAAAAACCAATAAATTCAGTACATAGGTAACTTTTTTTTTAGCTGAGCTCTTTTCCAAATTGCAATAGAACCTTGCTCTCGCATCTGCTCCCAGCTGATTCACAAGCTGATTCACTCACTTTCCATCCACATACATATAAACGCAAAATTTTATTTCATTCCTTGTTTTATTTTATTTTTACAATGTAGGCTTTCATAGTAGCTGTGAGGGTCATTTGTGGATTTTTTTTTCATTCAGAATATGGAGGGAAAAAAACAGAAAAGATTTGAATCTTAAAATCCATTTCTTAATAATGTCATTTAAACCCTTTATAAAATTCATAGCTTAGAAATATAGGCAAGAACAACAACAACAACAACAAAAAAAAATTATTAAATTTTTTTTCTGAAAACTGGAAATATTGCAGGTGCAGGTCCAGGAATTGGGTGCTATTTTCATGATCATAGATAAAAGAAATTTACCACAGCAGAAATTATTTAACAGATTGTGACATTCTCCCAAGTTCGGGCAGAAATGAGGAAACTGGAGGCAGGCTTGGAACAACTCAAAAGGCGCTTTATTTTACTTTCAGTTTTCAGCTTTTTTAATCACATACATGCACATGCACACACACACACAGCTCCAGGCTGGCTGCTCTCTCTCTCAATGCACTCGTCTCTCTCCGTTTTATCCTCACTTCTGCTCACTGCAACATAAAACACTCATTAATTGAATTCCCCACAGGTATACATTCCTCACCACTCACCTTCTCTGGCTCTGCTGTCCATTCACAAACTGGCACTTGAGCACGCCCCCACTTCCACATACCCCCACCGCCTGACTCAACTGGGGAGCTGTCTGACCTGCTGTTGACACAAACTGGCACTTGAGCACGCCTTCACTTCCACATACCCCCCCTGCTGAGAGAGGAAATCGGACACAGCCATCTGCAACCCTGGCCAGTGGACCACCTCGGACTTAAATGGCTGAAGTGCCAGATACCAATGAGTGATCTTTGGCATCCTTCTTGCAGTAGAGTCACTGGAGCAGGGCATGGTCCGAACAGAGGGTGAAGGCTTGTCCCAACAGATAGTATTGTAGGGTGAGGACTGCCCATTTTGATGGCCAGACACTCCTTTTCTATTTCGCTGTACTTAGTCTCTCGCACGCAGAGCTCCCTGCTGATATACAGCACTCCTCCTCCTCAACCACCAGTCAGTGAGCTGGTGACATCCAAATAATTATACACAAACCTTCGATAATAGCCAGCCAGCCCCAGAAACTCTCACCTCTTTTTTGGTCTTGGGTTTTGGGCAGGCGGCAATCACTGCTGTCTTATCAATTTGGGAATGCACCTGCCCATGGCCCAAGTGGAAGCCCAGATACTGTACTTCTATCTGTCCAATCGCACACTTTTTGGGTTTGCCATGAGTCCCGACTCTCTCAGCAATCTCAGAACTTCCTTCAGGCATAAGCTGCATGTGGATGGAGGATTCTATCACAGCAACCCAAAAGAAAGGGTCATGAATTAAGGCCTTTTTTTTGCGGTATATCGGAGTCAAGGGGATCTGCAAATATCCCTTTGTCAAATCCAGTGTTGAATAAAAACGAGCCACACCTAACTGATCAAGCAGTTTGTCAATGCGAGGCATTGGGTATGCATTGACTTTTCTAAAGTCCACACAAAACCGGACAGTCCCATTGACTTTGAGCACCAAAACCACCGGGCTGCTCCAGTCACTGTGGGACTCCTCGATTACCCCATGTCGTGCATAGCCTTGAGTTCCTCCAAAACCACTGATAGGGGCAGCTGCGTACCACCATCCCTGGGGCTATCTTGATGTGGTGCTCTATGAGTTTAGTGCAACCGGGGAGAGGTGCCTGCAATTTAGCAATGTCCGTGACATTGACTGTCCACCCCACCCATGACTGGGGTGGATTGAGCTGGTATTTTTAGATTCACTTCCAGTCCTAGCTCCTCCATCTCTGGGACGACCATCGCCAAAGCCATGGGAACCGCCTCCCTCCATGGTTTGAGGAGGTTAAGGTGGTAAACCTGCTGCTCTCCGCCTCTATCCATTCGCTTACCTCATAGTCAACAACCCCAAACCGCCATGTGACCTCAAAGGGTCCTTGACCCTTGCGAATAATTTAGAGCTCCACGTAGGTAGCAAAACGAGCACTATATCTCCTGGTGCTCACTCTCTTAGCTGAGTACCCCATTGACATTTTTGCTCCTGTAGCAAGTTCTCCTGTGTTATGTCACTTAAGGTGTGGAGTTTTGCCCTCAGGTCAAGAATGTATTGAATTTCGTTTTTACTGTTAGAAGGTACCTCCTCCCAATTTTCCTGAATGACGTTGAGCACACCGCGAGGCTTGCGCCCTTATAATAACTAAAACGGGGAGAATCCCACGGAGGCTTATGTTTTTAAGCGTTGATTAAACCGTTTTAAGCTTTGAATAAACTGTTTGACCAGCCCATCTATCTACGGATGATAAACACTGGTGCGAATCGATTTAATCCCCAGCAATTCGTAAAGCTCGCATAGTGTTAAAGATATGACATAAAAGATGTCCCCTCTTCAGTCAGGATCTCTTCAGACAACACGGAAGAATGCTTCTGCAACATGCTTGTGCTGCGGAGAGGCACTGCTTCTGGATATTGCATTGCATAGTCCACTACAACTAACACAAAGCGATGTCCTCGTGCAGTTCGAGCCAATGGACTGATGAGGCCAATACCAATTCTTTTGAAGGAGACCTTGATTAATGGGAGTGGACACAAAGGCGCTTTTGGGGTGGCTGGCGGATTGACCACCTGACATTCACGACACGCCGTGCACCACCTGTGAACATCACTGCGAATTCCCGGCCAATAGAAGTGGGCCACAAGATGGTTCATTGTTTTATCCTGTCCTGCCATTGGATCATGGTGAGCTGCCTGGAATAACAATTCCCTATGGCTCTTCAGAACCAACAGTTGGGTCGTTTAAATATAACTTATTCTTAATAATTGAGAATTAGGGGTGGGAGAGTGCAACATTAGGCTGAACTGGCTGACCATCAATTACTCTTACTTGGATGAAGGCGTGCCTAAGGGTCTCATTGCACGACTGCTCCAAGGGGAGATCCCCACCGCTTGATGTTCCCCTGCAGTAGAGCTGACATTAACAGCCCCAGCACCACCACCCCAGCCAACGCTGTGCACATTTCTCACCATTTTTCACTACTGCAGGACAAACATGCAGGACAAACCATCCGCAAACATTTCTCTCGATAACGCTCGAAACCCCAGCCAATTTATCCCCAGGCTTAGTGGATGGTGAGGAGAGGACTAACCACCACCTCTGCTATATTTTTTTGCCCCTTAAATTTAATGATGACTGGCACCAGTGGATATTTGAGAACATCCTCATGCACACACCTCACCTTCACTAAATGCCTCACCTTGAACCAAGCATTGGTGAATTGAGGTCTGGTTACAGCCTGAATCCCCCAATGTATGGTTTGTACCCCCTTGAACACTCACTGGTATGCAGTACATCCTGGCTTGATCGAGGACAGCCTGTGACACATTGGGAATCCAAACCAACGCTCCCACCTCCATCAAGAGGTCCTGGAAATGGCCAGGCTCCCTGCAACACCAGCACACTGGCCCAGGCTTTACTCCCACAACCCTAGATTCACCACCTGGGGGAGGG